AGGAACAAGAACAAGAGGAAATAGATTTAAAGTGATTTGCAAAAGAAGCAAGAGTAAAGCAGCTGAGGATACCAAATAACTGCAAAAGTTCCAAATGGTTTTCTAATGCCCTTTCAGGAGGGAAATCTGCCATATTCAAATGTACGGTATGCAACACTAGAATGGTTGATAATGTAGAATAGGAAGAGAAAAGTCTTTAGAACTTATTCTCCCCAAGAGTTTCATCTGATCCAGCATCTTTATTCAATTCCTTTTCTGGGCTTCTGGATGTCTTAGTCCTACAGTAACAGGTGAGTGATCTAACACTACCATGTTGCATAGGGAGAGAAGGAGAATGATTGGATTATCAACAGTGGTGTGCTGATGTAATGCTGAAACAGTATGAATCATTGTACTTAGAGGTATATTTCATTTATCAACAGATGGCTGACATATTTAGAGAAAATAATTTGGACTAATAAATAATGAGCTATTAATTATGAAAAAAGAGAGCAATTAAGCAAAAAAAAGCCACTAAGTAGTGACACCAACAAAAAGCTCACATTTATATTGGATCTTTAATGTAGGAAACTGACCCCAGGCACTTCACAGAACCAGTGTCAAACAGAAATTGACATTGAACCACATACAGATGAGGAGACCAAAAGTGTGGTCAGAACAATCTTTAAGGAATATCTCAAAGAACGAGAGAAAGTGGTGGAAAAATGGAGGGGCTTATGGAGGGAACTGCAGAGCTTAGAGATCACGCATCTTAAGGCATGGTTGTGAGGTAACTTTAATTGGGGATATGAAGAGGCCAGAGTTAGAGGAAGGCAGAGATTTTAATAGAGGTTTGTTGGATAAGGATCGAACCCTGGACATTTCCAGAGACAGACCGTCATTGGTTAAAATCCTGGCCAGATTCCATTATGAATCGGGTAATGACCAAGTTGGGTTCTGAGGCTTAACTTGCTTATTTGAGAGGCCTTAGTTTGGTTGCTGCATGCAATATAATTTAAATCATTGTTTCAGTACTTGATTGTCTGTGAGGTTTCTTAGTAAGTTGCCAAATTAAAGGTAGCTTCTGGTGAGTTCACCCACAAAAAAACTTCAGATGGGATCATGCCTAATATTATCTCCAGCATTAACCCTTCCAGAACCTTTACCTTATATAAGGAGACAATAAGGAATGTAGATGCTGGAAGTCAGAGTCTATAGGTATGAGGCTGGAAAGCACAGCAAGTCAGACAGCATCAGAGGAGCAGGGAAGTCAACATTTTGGGCCAAAACCCTTCGTCAGGACTGGGGAGAGGTAGGGGAGACCAGAAATAAATAGACAGGGGGTGTGGGTGGGGGCTGGAAGAAGGATAGGAGAGATGGTGATAGATGGATGCAGGTAGGGGGTTGTTGTGATCGGTCCATGGGAAGGGTGGAGCAGATAGATGAGTTGGAAGATGGATAGGTTTGGTCAGGTCAGGGAGGTGAGGTGGAGGGGGAAGGCTGGACATGGGATAAGGCTGGGGGTGGAAAGATTTTGAAACTGGTGAAGTTAATGTTGAGGCCAGATCCCAACTCCCTGAGACCACCTCCTACTGTCCCCTCAATTACGATCCCACCTCTGATCACCAAGCCATCATTATCCAGACCATCAACAACCTCATCACTTAGGGAGATCTCCCATCCACAGCGTCCAATCTGATAGTTCCCCAACCCCGCACCACCTGTTTCTATCTCCTCCCCAAGATCCATAAACCCAATTGCCTCGGTCGACCCATTGTCTCTGCCTGCTCCTGCCCCACCGAGTTCATCTCTTCCTACTTCAACTCCATTCTTTCCCCTTTGGTCCAGGAACTCCCCACTTACGCTCGGGACACAACCCACGCCCTTCACCTTTTCCAAAACTTTCAATTCCCCAGGCCCCAGCACCACATCTTCACCATGGACGTATAATCCCTTTACACCTGTATCCCCCACACAGAGGGCTTAAAAGCCCTCCACTTCTTCCTCTCCCATAAGTCTAACCAATCCCCCTCCACCAACACTCTCATTCACTTGGCAGAACTGGTCCAACTCTCAATAAATTTTCCTTTGATTCCTCCCACTTCCTACAAACCAAAGGGATGACCATGGGCACCAGCTTGGGCCTGAGCTATGCCTGCCTCTTTGTAGGATTCATGGAACAGCCCCTCTTCCACAATTACACGGGTGCCATCCTCCATCTCTTTCTCTACTAGATTGATGACTGTATCAGTGCTGCCTCATGCTCCCTGAAGGAGCTTGAGCAGTTCATCAACTTCGCCAACACCTTCCACCATGGCCTCAAATTCACCTGGACTATTTCTGACACCTCCCTCCGCTTCCTGAGCCTCTCCGTCTCCATCTCCAGTAACCGACTCACCACTGACATCCATTTCAAACTCACTGACTCCTACAATTACCTCAACTACACCTCCTCTCACCCACCCTCCTACAAAAATTCTATCCCGCACTCCCAATTCCTCTGCCTCTGCCGTATCTGCTCCCAGGATTCCAGACATCGCAGATATCCTCCTACTTTAGGGACCATAATTTCCCCTCCTTAACTCACCTTCCCATTCCCCTGGTGACATGTCCATCCTTGACCTCCTCCATTATCAGACTGAGGCCAAACGTAAACTGGAGGAATAACACCTCATATTTCGCCTTGAGAGCTTACAGCCCAATAGCCTGAATATTGACTTCACCAGCTTCAAAATCTCTCCTTCCCCAACCTTATCCCATCTCCAGCCTTCCACCTCCTCCTCACCTCCTTGACTGGACCTAACCTGTCCATCTTCCTACCCACCCATCCATTCCACCCTTCCCACAGATCAATCAAAACAACCCCCTACTTGCAAGCCACCTATCACCATCGCTCCTACCCTTCCCCCAGCCCCCACTTCCCCTATTTATTTCTGGTCTCCCCTTCCCCTCCCCAGTCCTGACAAAGGGTTTTGACCCAAAATGTTGACTTTCCTTCTCCTCTGATGCTGTCTGACTTTCTGTGCTATTATAGTCTCACACCTGTAGGCTCCATTACCTTAAACAAACGCTTCCTGAAAAGATATAATGGATCAGTTGTGTTTTTACCACAATCCAACAGTTTCATGGATACCATTACTGACACTAGCTATTCATTCCACATCTTTATTTGTTAAATGTGTTGAATGCAAACTCTCTCTCTTCCTGTGCTGGGATTTTATCGCGTCTCTTCAGTTTATAACAAAAACAGAAATTGCTGGTAAAGCTGAGCAGGTCTGATAGCATCTGTGGAGAGAAATCAGAGTCAAGTGAGCATTTTGCAGAACGCTGGATCCGAAACGTTAACTTTGATTTCTGTCCACAGTTGCTGCCAGACCTGCTGACGTTTTTCCAGCAATTTCTGTTTTTGTTTCAGATTTCCAGCAGTTCTTTCAGATTTTGTCTTCAGTTTATTAGTCTGGACTGCTAATTAAGTAGCTGTGAATCTCAATGCTTAAAGATGTATGCAGAATCATGTGGCAGTCTAGCCATTGCCCTGTTGGGGCTGCCCCATGACCATACAGCAAAATGGCCAACGACAGTCCCAACAAGTTTTGCAATACACATTTCACAGAAATTATAAAGCGTGAGAAACACTTGTTTAATGTGTTCTCAGTACAGAGGACAATGACAGTCTGTTCCTTCAATAAGATTAGATGTGCAACATACTTTGCTACCTTAAAGATAAGAACATTTCATACCAATTAGTTACTTCTTTTAAGTTGTTTCTAATCAATCAGTAATAATACTACAAGTAGGTTTTAATTAAGATTCTTCAAGATAATCATTGCTATAGATTCCAAAGTGTTGTAGAATGATGTATATTAATCACTATACTATTGGAAAGAAAGGTTTAAAACTAATTACAAGGGGCCTCCCTTATCTGTCCTAGTTGAGAGATGAAAGGTCACAAGCAACCATGGAAAGTTCAGTTTCTCACACACCAAAAGGGGCCCATTCAGATCATAGCAACAAGATTACTACTTGAATGATGTGCTGGAAACCCAATCATAGTTGAACAACCCAGCACTAATTAACCAAAAGTATACAGAGGGGGAGGGAGCAGGTGCCACCATGCTAACATTGGGAGACAAATGGATAAGAGACAATTTATACGTCGTTGAAATTAGAGTGTCATTGACTTTGCTTCCGATCTGAGCTGCAGATTGAGAGGGTAATTGAACCCTCACAATCGAGGCTAGATTCAAGAGAAGTTTTTGGCCTCTCTTTGTGTTGTACCGTGGAACACATGAATAAAACTGCAACGTGCCTTGAGCTCTTCTGTCTCCTGAAAACTTATTATCGCCGCAAGACTCGCTCCAACATCCTCCAGTGAATGATACACTGGCTCGTGGGAGCTCCACCAGCCTCATGAAACAGGAACCTGTTGTCCACTGTCAGGAGGACAGCATCCCTAAGCTCACTGTAGCTCTTTACCTTCATATCTACTGGCCGTCCCAGATTGCTGCCATCCACGCTAAGGATGGAAATGGGAATGACCTTGATCCTAGTGGAGTTGAAACTGAATGAGAAATAGAGGAACTTGTACTGACTTGGAGGAGGGGGCTGTGGAGTTTGCAATGAGTAAACATTGCAGTGAGGCAGACCGAGGAGTGGGCAGTGAGTCATTGCTGTGAAGCAGGCAGGGCTTTAGATATCGGGATTATTGGGATTTCTTCCGACAAGAAGGATGGGTGGCACCTAATCTGGAGGGGCACCAATATTCTGGCAGGGAGTTTGCTGGTGCCATTTGGGAGGATCAAATTAGTGTGATGGGTGTGCTGGGAACCAGATCAGTTCTCAACACGGGACTCCATTAACAAACACATAGAAATAGACCCCATCAACAGACTGCTGCTAAAAAACAGGACCGGAAATAACAAGACCCACCACACCAGAGGATCATATAAATTCGGAAAGAGCAGAACACCAGCGCTTCGATTAGAGGTTGCACTGATGATGTTGCCTAGAATGGTAACGAAATGTCTGCACAACCATGGAACAACCGGTTCAGCGAGCAAACAACTGACCAGATCAGTAGGTCGGCGTGTGAAGTGTTTGAAGACAGGAGATGGGCTAAATCAAGTAAGTCTAGCAGGAAGATCAGGCAGGGCCAGGTTAATGAACACAGTGGGACTAGCGATCTGAAGTGTATTTATTTAAATACAAGGAGTATAACAGATAGGGCAGATGTGTTTAAAACCTGGGTTAGTACATGGAATTACAGAGCAAAAATAGAACTGCAGATGCTGGAAATCAGAAACAAAATCAGAAGTTGCTGGAAAAACTTAGCAGGTCCCATTTGCTCTCCACAGATACTGCCTAAACTGCTGAATTTTTCAAGCAATTTCTGATATTGTAGTTATTACCGAAACCTGGTTGAGAGAAGGGCAGGACTGGCAGCTGCACATTCCAGGGTTTAGATGTTTCAGGCGTGATAAAGAGGGATATAAAAGGGATGTATTATTGATTAGGGAGAATATCGTAGTTGTATTAAGAGAGGACATCTTGGAGGGTTCATCCAGCAAGGCCATATGAGTAGAATTTAGGAATAAGGAATATGCGATAACTATGATGCTGTTATATGATTGGCCATGCATTAGCTAGTGGTAGATAGAGGAACAGATATGTAACCGTCTACGACTCCACCAATTTTTGTATCATCTGTAAACTTACTAATCAGACCACATACATTTTCATTCAAGTAATTTATATATATTACAAACAACAAAGATCCCAGCATTGATCTTTGCTGAACACCATTGGTGACAAATCTCCAGTCAGAAAAACACACTCCACAACTACCCCCTATCTTCAGTAACCAAGCCAATTTTCAAATTGCCAACTCACCATGGACCTCATGCAACTTAATCTTCTGGGCTAGCATATAATCAGGGACCTTGTCAAATGTTTTAGTAAAGTCTCTGTAGACGACATCCACTGCACCTACCTTCATTAATTATTTTCAACACTCCTCAAAAAATTTAATCAAATTTGTGAGACAAGACCTCACTCGCTCAAAGCCATATTGGCTAGTCCTAATCAGTCTATTCTTATCCAAATGTGAGTAATTCCTGTCCCTTAGAATCTTCCCCATTAAAATTCCGTATCATTGATGTTAGGCTCACCAGCCTATAGTTTCCTAGATTATCCCTGTTGCCCTTCTTAGACAAAAGAGCAACATTGGCTATTCTCCAGTCCTCTGGAACCTTGCCTGAGGCTAAAGAGGATACAAAGATCTCTCTCAAGACCCCAGCAATCTCTTCTCTTGCCTCCTTCAGGATCCTGGGGACTTATCTACCTCAATGTTTTTCAAGATATCCAACACCTCCTCCTTCTTAATATCAACATGCCCAGAATATCAACATACACATTCCTCAACTTACCATCATCCATGCCCATCTCCTTGACGATTACTGATGCAAAGTACTTATTAAGGACCTCACCCACTTGCTCTGGCTCCATGCATAAATCTCTCCTTTGCCCTTGATTGGACCTACTCTTTCCCTAGTTCCCTTTTTGCTCCTAATATATGCATAAAATACCTTGCAATTCTCCTTAATCCTACTTGCCAAGAACATTTCATGGCCCGTTTTAGCCCTCCAAATTTCTTGTTTAAGTTCTTTCTTGCTTCCTTTATATTCCTCAAGCATCTTATCTGATTTTAGTTTCCTCACCCTTACATGGATTCCTTTTTCTTCTTGACTAAAGTTTCAATACATTCTGTCATCCAGAGTTCCTTTATCTGACCATCCTTATCTTTCAAAAGCAAACAAAGTTTCAGCCTGTTCCCAACAACAACCTTAACAGATATGCAGTCTCAGAATCATTACTCTTTCATTTCTTAAAACAAAGAACTGTTGATGCCAAAATCTGAAACAAAAACAGAAATTACTGAAGAAACTGAGTTTTGAAGAAGGGTCTCTAAACTTGAAATGTTAGTTGTGTTTTCTCTCCACAGATGCTGCCAGATCTGCTGAGTTTCTCCAGCATTTTCTGGAGGGTTTTTGTGCCTTTAATTTCTTACTTATTTGATTATTTCCAGTTGTCCTTGGATTACAGGGAAGTTTTATGACTTCTAACCAGCTCTGATGACCTGAGCCTCCTTTCAATTCTGACAACTTGAACTCACAGCTTGCAGACTTCACAAACTGAAACACTTCTGCTTGAGAGACCATTCTCCCAAGCTGAAAATTTGATTCCGTTGAACTGAGCTCTGAAATTAAACTAATGTCCTCCAGTCTGTTTTCTCTGTTTGAGCCAAATCAACATTATAGATATTTAATCAATAAGTATCATGAGCATCTTACCTGGTCTTTAATTGAATCATATGCTTTCTTGGAAATGATGCATTTAGGAAACTGTTCCAAATGACTTTCTGGCCACTTTAAAAAACACACTGACATTCATAGAACTGAAACCAAAGTCCATTCGGCTCTATTTTTTTAAAAATCCAAATTCCCACATTGTTATAATATCTCTTACACACCTTTATCATACTCTGTCCTATCTGGTGATCATAGAATTCCAATAGTGTGAAAAAAGGCCATTTGACCCATTGATTCAATACTGACCCTCCAAAGAGCATCTCACCCAGACCTACCTACCTTACCCCCTCAATGTAACCCAACATTTCCCATTGGCTAACTCACCAAGCCCACACATCCCTGGACACTATGGGCAATTTAGCATGGCCAATCCACCGAACCTGCACATCTTTGGTCTGTGGGAGGAACCTGAAGCACCCGGAGGAAACCTATACAGACACAGGGAGAATGTGCAAACTCCACACAGACAGTTGCCTGAGGGTGAAATCAAACCCAGATCCCTGGCGCTGTGAGGCAGCAGTGCTAACCACTGGGCCAAAGTGCCCCCCTCATGGAATTATTTGTGGAGACCCAGTGTCCTGGCCAACATTTATCCCTCAACATACATCACAAATCTGGCTATGATCTCATTTCTGTTTATTGGGGTTTGCTATGTGAAGTATGGCTGCCATAATCCCTATGTTCAGTTAGTGATTTCAAAAGTACCTAATTGCCTGTAAAGCACATTGAGCTGTCCTAGGTTTGAGAAAGGCTCTATATAAGTCTTTCTTTCTTTGACTTAACAGTCCTGATGAGTGTAGGATGAAAAGCTTCAGCAACTCCTTTGCAAAAGGAATAGTGTATAAAAGTATGGAAGTGTTACTGCAAATGCACAAGATATTTGTGAGACCTGGAGCACTGCATACAATTTTGGTAACTGTATTTGAGGAGGGATGTTGTTGCATTGAAACAGTTCAAAGGAGATTCTATAGATCGATTCCAAAAATGAGGGGGTTTGTCTTATGAAGCGTGATTGTGCAGTTTAGGACCCTACTCTCTGGAGTTTAGAAGAATGAGAGGAGACTGATAGAGGTCTAGAAGTTGCTAAAGGGGATTGACAAAGTAGATGTAGATGGGATGTTTCAACATGTGGAGCAATCCAGAGCAAGAAGTCCGAGCTTTAGGAATGACTTCTCTCAAATGGCTGTGAATTTGTAGAATTCACTATCCCAGAGTGCAATGGATGCTGGGACATTGAGTAAATTTCAAGATGAGATAGGCAAATTTTTAATTATCAATGGGTTGAAAGGTTATGGAGAATGGGCAGGAAAATGGTATTGAGGCTGAGATGAGATCAGCCTTGATCGTATTAAATGGTGGATCAGGCTCAAGGGGCTGAATGGCCTACTCCTGCACCTGGTTCTCATGTTCTAACATTTTGCTCTAAAGTCCCTTGCTCTTCTCGAGAAGTCACTAGGCATCATGTCTCAAATATGAATAAACTATATCTGAAAACTATGATTTGATGGCCACATGTATAAAATTCAATACCTTTGAGTCTTCATTAAAGTAACCCATTGCTCAACGTTCTATGGCCAGTAATGCTTTATGCAATAAATCTTGCCAATTTGTGAGTTTTATCCCCATGGAATAAGCAGGCATTAATGTGATTGCCTACATTGTTTCTAACAAGTCCAAAGACCGCCACAAAAATATGATCACTAGTATCTCCCAACAGGGCAATACTGCAACTTTTTTGTATCATGTGCTAAAATAACTCATTCAATGGCAAGCCAGAGGGTTTTGTAGCTTCAGAATATGAATTGTCATAAGTCGTGTCAACAAGAACAGATTTTTTTTTAAGATGAATATGTGACAGTTTCTCATCTTTTATCATCTAAACACTGTCACAGCTGGACCAGAGTTTGGAAGATTGAAAGTACATATCATTGTTTATCATTAATGTTCTCAGGGTAATTTGAAAGAGGCAATAATTTGCCAGTGACACTCAGAACTCAAGGAATGATAATCATGACATGGAAAATCAGACTTGAGTCGAATTTCCTTTCTACCCTCTTCCCAGACAGTGGCCAGACATGAAAGAAGAAGATCTGACATGAAGCTGAAGAGAAATTTCTCCTTTGGCCCAACAAGTGCATGGATACATTGCTAACCTATCTTCAGATAGGAGCTCCTTCCCTAATAGCATTTCCAGCAATTCCCAATCCCCTGAATGAGAAAAGGCATTGGAAGCAGAGTCCTTGAATATTTTTAAGGCAGAGGTGGATAATTTCTTGTTAGGCAAAGGGGTGAAAGGTGAACAGGGCTCAGTGGGAATGTGGATTTCAGATTACAATCAAATCAGCCATGATCTTTTTGAATAGCAAAAGATCTGAATGGTCTAATTCGGCTCCTAGCTCGTATATTCCTACAAATGATTGAAAACAATTACCTCTGTACACTGCTATCGCGATCAACCAAGATTCATTGATGGTACCTTAGATGTGGACAAGGGAAGCAGGCTTTTAGGGATACCAATATTCAGAATTCCCCTCTAAGCCACACGTTATCTTTGTTAATGGCATTTTTATAATGTTGCAAAGATACACCAGTGAAGGGCATTGCTTGATTACGGCAAAATTTGAATTTGCAAAGATCTGGAATAAAATGTTATCCTAGTGGTGACACCATTGATTGTTGTAAAACCCCATCTGGTTCACTGATAGCTTTTGGGAAAGGAAATCTACCTGCCCTTACCCAGTCTGGCATATCTGTGAC